GCTAATATTAAATCGCGAAGTTGCTTTATCTTCAATAAATGTTATTTGCTGGCCATTCTAAGCAGGTTTCCGAATTTTTTACAAGAAAGTAAAAAAATACATACTTTATTAACTGCCTCTTCCTGTATTCAAATTTAGAAAATTTATACAAGAACATAGTTCAACAACTACAGAAGGCATATATGCATATGTTTTTTCTGACCTTAATTTTCACATTTAAAATATAATAGAAGTTGTATGTGATTTCTTAAAGAATTTACTATAAATAACAAAACTCATATTGTGGAATAAAGCAAATTAATATTAATTATGGGCTAATTTGTACAAAATAAGACGACTTATTATAATAATGCTATTTTACGAGGTTGGATACATTTTTTTCTCGAAATTGGATACATTTTGTTTTTTCCGAGTGGGAACACTGATTGGTCCAACCCAACTTTATTTAAAAACCGATTTATTTTTATAGCTTATAATAAGCAGAGGAAACTTGTAAGGTTTTTGACCGAAAGCGCAGCAAAACGACGGAAATATTCTTCAAATCTATAGAGGTCAGCTAAGAGTCAATAGAAATAATTAATTTAATTACTTATTTGCCACCAGATACCCTCTAAACAGATATTTCCTCAGTGAAGTGAAAATACATATTTTTCATTCTGGTTTGCTACACATTTATGTCGAAACACTTTACTGAAATATGAATAAGTTCAGTTTTTTAAATCTGAACGTTTAAGATTTTTTATAGTCGGTTATAAAAGAAATTTCCTCATTTTCATTCAATAATTCTAAATTCCCACACCAAGAAGAAAAATAAAATTTTCGTGCGTTTTTAAAATCTGTTTAAAGAAATCAAAAACAAAAAACAAATTTGTCAACAGTCCTGGTGATTTTCGGACTGCTGCTTCCTTTAATTTAATTTGAATATTCTTGTACTAAGAAAATAATTTTCAAAAAATTTAATTCTTTATAAAAAACTTACTCTTTAGGGTTTAAGAGACACCGTTTGTACATAAATTAATTTTAAGTACTTTAGAAATTGGGACAAGCTCCGGTTCAAAGTAGGAGTATCATAACATACTCAAATTGAAAAGTATTGAACTTCAATAATAATTTAAAGAACAAGACCACATGCACACCACCGTTCGCTAATTTAATTAACAATTAGCATAAATATTTCTTCTACAACTTTAATCACCAAAAGAAAACGTAGTAGCATTGAACTGTAATTTTATTCCCTGTTTTAAAGATTATTGAAGGAAAAATGTTTTTTCCTAATTTTATATATTAATTTGATGCTAACAAAGATTGCTTTACTAAAAGTCATTAACACATATAATTCCTGTACTCCATGAACGGAAAATATACGAAGGAATAGAATAAAATAAAATATTGATTCCTATGGAAATGATACTTTCTTCGAGGAATAATAGAATAACCATATCCTTACACCGATATTATTCTTAATACAAATGCATATAATCTACACACAAAAAAAAAACTTAGTAATAATTACCAAAAACTGAGTATAAACTACTATTTTTCATGGTACTTTTGTGCTAACAAGTAAATTTGGTAAAAACGACAAATCTTTTACCAAATATTTTGGTAAAAGTCTTAAAATTTAAAATTGACACTTATACTAATAAAAATGGTAGGAATGACGAGCATTCATGGTAAAAGTGACAAAAACAAATGGTAATAATTACCAATATACTTTGGTAAAAATAAAAAATGGCATTGGTAAATTTTACAAGTACATATGGTAACAATAACAAATGAGAAGGGTAATTATTACCAATACGCTTTGGTAAAAATAAGAAATGGTACTAGTAAGTTTCACAAATATATATACTAATAATAAAACTGGAAATTGTAATTATTACCAAACGTACAAGTAAAAGTGATATGGCAAGAATCGTCTTTTTATTTCAGTTTTCTTTTCATTTACCAATTCATTTAATATTAACTGAGATGATACTTATGGAATCTGAAATTACTTAAAAAAAACTTGTTAATAAATTGTTTTTCTATTTTAAATTTTTATTTAGACATTTAATTCACTTCAATTTTTTTTAATGTTAATTATATAAAGTTAATATCAAAAGGAAACATTTTCGTGTTTAAAAATAACGTTTTAAATAAACTATACAAAAAAAAAGTTTAGAAAATTTTAACAAAAATCATAGCAGATATTACATAATGCTAAAATATTATTTTTCAGTAATACTACTTTGATTTATTTCATCAATTAGAATATTAACTGATGAATGATTAGTGTTGTTACATATTCCATAAAAAAAATTGGCGACGAAGCTCCAAAATAAATTGGCTTGAATTGGAAATTTTAAATTAAAAATGTAAAAAATTTTAAAACATGTATCTACTGCTTTTGCTATGGAATACATTTTGTATCTTATTCCATCGAAGTAAACTAATATTGCCTCTGGATTAGAGATACAACCTTGAGCAAGCAGCAGAGGTTGAATAGAATCTTGAGATTGATATTTTCTTGAATTAAATCTTCAACGTTTTGAGCTGTCCTTCCTATAATTATGAAGGCATTTTGTGAGTCTCGAATGGTAAATTTTTTTTTCCCTTTATCCACAGTTGTCCACAGGGTCTGACAATATTATGCAGTAAATACATCGTTGTGAGAGTTATACCATCTAAAATAGAAATATTGTAAATATTTTGTTAATCAATTTAAAAAATTTGAATACTACGGTTTAAGGTGTAATTTATTGTATTAGAGTAAAGTTTAAATTTTATGTCATGTAATTAAATCTTACTTTCAGAAAAATTTTCGTAATTTTGCAGAACTTCGATTAGTTCCTTTGAATTTTCATCTTTTATTCTCTCTGTGAATATTTCTCTCATTTTCAAATGAAAACTTGAAATATCTTACAGTGCATTTTTTGCATTGGGAAACAAGTTTAAAAAATCAATATCAAACTGCAATATAAGAAATTATACAATCACATAACGTATCTAATAATAAATATTGTTATATATGATTCCTTACCAGTTTATATCCCAATGGATTTTTGTACTGTAACCATTCTTTCAAAATGTCATTAGTTGAGGTCATGGCGGATATTTGTGTCAACCTATAATTGCTAGTTTTTTTCCAGATTTCTTCAAGCTCTGTGTGAGTCAATGATGGACCTTTTAAAATTTTTAAATATTCATTTAAATATACATTTATAATCACTATTTTTATTTAAGTAATGGAAAGTTTTTAAATGACGCAAAAAAATTACTAAATTATCGAAATTCTTCCTACATTTAAAACATTCTATAGTAAACATTTTAAATACTTTAGATTACGTACAACACATTAAAATTTTTAAACTAAATCTGAGCACAAATATTAACACGGTTTTTTTTAAGTTAAATACAGTCCCTAAAATTATATTTAATTGATACCACCACCAAATATATTCAAACAATAACCTTACATTTATTTGTTGCCAAACTGTAATTTTCTTCTCAAATTTTATTTGTAGACTTATTGGTAAATAAATAAGGCAATTAATTTCACTTTGTTTTATTTTTTATAATTTTATTATAACTAAAAATTTTTTAATTTTATTGTAGTTAAAACTTTTATAATTAAGTTATAAAACACTTCTTTCTCTTTGACGAACGAACAACGAAATGACGTGATACAACAAGCCGTTACTTTACCAAAAATTATTAGGAATTTGTTTTGTAATACTTACCAAGCTTTTGTAAAATCTACTTAAAGACATGGTAAAACTTATAAAATTAGTGGAATTTACAAAAGCAAATATGGTAGAAATTATTTTGTAAGTAATTTTTACCAATTTCATTTGTAAATTTTACCAAAAGTTTTGTTCCTCTAATAAAAAAACATGGTAATATTTTACTAAATTACTTTGTGAAATTAACAAATTCGTTTGTATGTACGTTACCAATAATTTTTGTTGTTTATACTAAGAAATTTGTTTCATTTACCAAAAAAAAATTTATTTTTACCAATTTTTTTTGCATAATTTACTAAGCTAATCGTAAATTATAATTTTACCATGTTTTTTTTACTTTTTTACCAAATTTTTTTGTTAATATAACCAAAATTGTGGAAAAATTTGGTAAATTTGACAAAAAAATTGTAAATATTACCAAAAAATGATTGTACAGCGTTTTTTACCAAATACTTAGTAAAAATTACAATTATTTTTTTTTGAGTGTATATAGATATAAACTTGTACAAAGTTTTATTGTAAAGTTCACGAAAGTAAAGGAAAAAGTTTAATATTTAATGAATAACCAAAAGTATGGTGAATAAATAGAATTTCTTCTCCTTTCCAAGATTTCTTACCAAACATTTTTACGTCTTCGATATACATGTACACTCATACATAATTCTGTGTGAATGTGCTGTCGAAATATTCTTTTCGATATTGAAAATAATGTGAAGTACATACAAACATAAAATAAATGGCACTAGAATAAGAAGAGAAAAATCGAAACCTATTATCTTTGACGAGACTTTTTTATTACAAATACTTTTTTTTCATATAACCATAGTGTGGCAAAAACAAAACCAAAAAGAACGTGAAATTACTCGCCGCCATTTTTTAACATATTTATTTCTATTTTAGGTTTTTATTGTGTATGAAAATTTGATAACAAAATAGGAAAACAAGCTTTTATTAACGATTGTGTATAAATGTTTTCAAAGAGTTACAAATTTTAGAAATAAAATCATGATAAATTGATAATAGTTTCATTTGGGACTTCGATACATCCTGTTTCTAAAAATAACTCACTCGTTTTTTTGAAAGACTATATGTACTATATGTATTTCGTATATTTTGCGTTATTTATATAGAAAATTGAAAAAGCAAACAAAATATTCGAAAAAGTGTTGTATGTACTCGAAAAGGTACAATAAGAACAAATGGGTTAAATTAGCGAAAAATTACCTCGTACTTATATGTAATAAAAAAATAAAACGCCATTTTTTTAATTTACAGGTATGGTTTCAAAATAGAAGAGCGAAATGGAGAAAAAAGGAACATACAAAAAAGGGTCCAGGTAGACCGGCACATAATGCACATCCTCAATCCTGTTCTGGTGAACCAATACCACCTAACGAATTAAAGGCGAAAGAAAGGTAAATTTCAAATATGTTAATACGAGTACTAATTGAGAATAAATATCATAAGATGCAATTCGCACTACACGAAATTTTAGAATTTTATTTATGAATTATAATAGTGTCGCTTGCTGTTAACTGGCAATTAGGAGTTACTTTTGCAAATTAAATAATTATTATAGATTTTAATGTGTCTATGAAATTGCTAAAATTGAAAATTAAACTAACTAAAATTTACTAACTAAGTAAATATATTAATAATTATTATTATCATTTTTATTTTTCTATATTTTGCTTATCCCACCAACCATTTGATCGAACAGGGCACGTCGACGTAAAAAATTAACGAAAGCAATTGAACGTCAAGCAAGAAAATTACGTGCTAAAGGTATTGCTGTCGATTTAGATGCACTTAAGGCTGAATATTTAGCACAACATCGTGGTACATTAAATTTAAATGAATCTGATATTGATGATGATGAAATACAAATTGATGTTGTCGGAGATGGTGATGATTCTGATGATGATGAACCAGAAGATTTTTCATTTAGAAGTTCATTTTTAAATAGTTGCAGTAATAATATTAATGGAAATTTAAATAATTTCAATTTGAGCAATAGTCCAAATAGTGGTATCAGTAATTATTGTAAAAGTGAAATTGATATTGACATTGATGGTAATAGAGATGGTAGAGATAGTAGTTGTAATAATATTGATGATAGACATTTAGATAATATAAATAACATTAACAATAATAATAGTAATATCAGTAATAATAATAACAATAATAATATAAATAATCATAATTTAAATAATAATAATATTAATAATAGAAATAATAATTTAGATGATCGTGATGATGTTATATGTAATGATGGTGATCGTGATTCATCACCAGTTTTAACTGATGATGGTAGTAATTTAATGCAAGATAATAATAGTAGTAGTGAACCACCGAAAAATTTAAGTATCAGACAAAATCCTTTTAGTATAGATTCATTATTGTATAATAATACGTGAAATCTAATTTTGAATAGAAGAAATTATGGAGATTTTAATTTTTAAATAATTTACAATTAATAATTATAGTAATGATGTTGAATGAAGAGAAATTTATGTAAAATAAATCTAAAAGTCAAAAAATTTAGTTTGAGATTTTGCTTTAAACCTTGACACATTTCAGTTAAAATTGTTTTCAATAATTTTAACCATTTTCTTCTTATATCGTACATGCTTAATAGTCTTTTACAATACATAGTATATGCTATATTTCACTAACAACGATTTTTGCCTATATAGTAAATTTAATTATGAAAATACAAATAACATTTGGTAATTAGAACTTCGATAAATTCTTAAATTTTCAAAGTACTTGCAATGGTCAACTATATCAATACTGGATATTCTTTTATCAAATCTTTCAGTTAATTTAAAAATTTATTGTTTGTGACCTAAATTGATTATTGCCAGAAATTTGTACTATGACAATTTGATAAAACACTAATTTTATCGTAAATTAATGTAAATTAAGAGTTCTTAAAGCTTAACATTTTTGTTTTGAAATTATTTTCATTTAAATTTCATTCTTACGTAAATCTTTTTTATTTTAAGAATTGCATTTTTAATCTTCAATGATATTGAAGATTAAAAATGCAATTCTTAAAATAAAACGAAAAAAATTTCCACACTCTATACCCAACTTGTACATGAAATTTCTCACTGTTGGAATTAGTATATTTTTGAAAAACGTCTACAAACATATACTTGGCTTAAAATTCAACAAGATTATCTATTAGATGCGAAATGGAGGTGATTTTTTTAGTAATTTTTATATATCTCTGTCCACAAAAAAATATACGTGATTAAATGTAACAAAAAAACGAGAAAAAAAATAGAGTTGACCTTGTCAACTCTTTGATACCCGTACGAATTTGTTATCCTATGTGCGAATAACTAATGTGCCATAACTAACTATGGGGCACACTATGACTTTAAGTTGCCGTATTACCATATTAATTTATGCAAAATTTCAGTACTATGTGTTATTCAAAATACTGGTTGTGCCAAACTACTATTGATGTTGTATGGCACCTACCAGAAAGAGACAAGAAATTTTAGCGAATTTTATAAAGCACATCGGCCCTACTAATATATTCACTTGTGTGAAATCTCAATATCATAGCTTTTATAGTTTCTGAGATATAGTCAAATAACTTTTGAAGTTGTATGGCAGGTACCAGCAGGAGCCAAGTAATTTCAACGACTTTTATGTGGCATATTGGCCCTACTAATATATTCGTTTGTGTGAAATTTCAATACCATAACTTTTATAGTTTCTGAGATATAACCAAATAAATTTTGAAGTTGTATGGCAGCTACCCGAACCGGTACCCCGATCATGTCCAATTTAAATAGGGTTCTGGCACTTACTACAATAAATCGTTTGTGAAAATTTGGTGATTTTAGCTCAATTAGTTTTTGAGTTATCGTTCGGACGGACGGACGGACGGACAGACAAAGCTAAATCAACTCAGAATTTGACGCTGATCAAAAACATACACTTGAGTCTGTATCTAACACCGTTATTTCTTAGCGTTACAAACGGTAAGGCAAATTTAGTATACCCTTCGAACATACGTTCGTACGGGTATAATGAGGGATTTTTTTAAAATGCGCCTGGTAGAATAAAATTCTGAAAGCTTTTTGTGTAGTGAAATGCGATTTAATTATGTGCGACGCCGCATCTAGAAGAATAACGTTGAATATTTCCGTAACTTAGAATATTTTACATAGGACAAATCGAAAATAATTTTTTTTTTTACTATAACGTTGTGGAGTCGTTTAATCGATAGCACAGTTTGTTAGACTACACAGAAAAAAATTGATAGCAACAATTTTTTCATAAAAGGTACAAAGCTCAGATCAGATTAGATGTACCGCTCAGATGTACTGATTTTGAATAGTAAATAGTTTTCTTTGTTCCAAACAAACTTACATTGTTTTTATTTTGAAATGGTAGAAAAATATTCAATTGCCCTTACAAAATGAAGTGAAAAACGAAAATGTGTCAAGAGTTTTAATATAAAAAACAAAATAAGAAAAACGAAATTAAAATATAAAATTTTTTAATTTAATTATTTATTTTATATTTTTCGATTTTTTTTAATTAAGTTCTAAATATTTTTAAACCATAAATGAACAGACAACGACAATTATATGTGAATATTAATAAAATTATATTGAAATTAAAAAATAGACAAGATATACATAGCACGCTATGCAATATAAAAAATATTAAATAATTTATAACAATTAACAAAAACTTATAATAAAATTTTATAAAAAAAAAAACATAAAAAAAATTACTCATTACTACAATAAAATATGTAAGTATATAAAAAAACATACAGCGGTTATAAATTAATAATAAAAAGAATGAATTGTAAATATTGTTCAAATAATTCGAAAAAAAACTGAAGACAAAAATTAGTAAGAAAAAAAAATGTCAAAAATTGTAAAAATTCACAAACGAAATTGTATTAAAAACAAAAATAAATTAAAAAATTAATGAGGTGCAGAAAAAAACTCAATATACTTAAAATTGTGCAATAAAAAGGATCTCAATTTGCCAAGAAAATATTTCCCCGCAGTATACTAAAATGCTAAATATCTGAACATAGTTTAAATGTATTTGTTTAAGTGTTAATGTTATATGACCTGTAAAATTTTAAATTCACACTGGAGCACTCAATCAGATTATTGTTAAAGTTTTAAATTGGTTGTCAAAGAGTAACTGTCTATTTATTCTTTAGATTCCAAATTACAAGACTTAGTTCTATATGGTCAAATTTCTTCAAGCCTTAAATAACATTTAGATAAAGATTAATTTTGCTATAGTGGAAATATCTTTATTTATCACTTCTTTTGGTCATTATCTAAAATTAACGATTTCTGCTCGTTTAACAAGCATACACAATTTTAATATAGAAACCCATTACTAGCTCATAAATATAGTGAGGAAGTTCATCTAATCTGATAATTATCATTACAGTTAAATTTAAAGGTATATACAGTGCAATCCTTATAATATTTTCTAATTTTTTTTTTGTATTAATTGATTTCTCATTGAATTAAAATTGAGTAAATACATATTTTTCTGACCTTGGGAAATATTGTGTTAATAATTGAGATTCTTAAATTTTTTCTTCCTTTACACATTTTTTATTTATTATGCTTACAAAAAAACAAAAATAAACCTATTTTAACTATCAAATTTTATAATTTTGATGCAATTTTTAGTTAAATAAGACTTGAACTTTTAGTATAACTAATTAATTTTCTATTTAAGTTATTTATTTGTAAATATATAAAATTTTAGTTTAGTTTAAAAATTTTTAATATACATAGATACGTACATATGCATACATATACATATATATTTTTTTTGTGTATAAAAGTTCCTTTTAATGTATAGTTGATTGTATAGTTTTAGTTCTCACAAATATTATAGAATATTCAAAAATACAAAAATAAAAAAAAAGGAAAAATTAAATAATTTCTTTACATATCATTCCTATATAAATTTGCATTTTGAGATTAAAATTTTAGTTTGTTTTTTTTTTTTCTTCTAAAATTTAATTGCTATCAGAAACAGAATAATGTCCAATATGTTTTATCTCTGTTAACACTTAGGAAAAATCATATACAGATACGTACACCCGCTCAACTGACTAGACGCCAAAATTCTTCGTGATGACGTTAACTATTTAACTAAAACAAGTACACGACCACTAGAATTTGGAATATTTTTATAGTAAGTTTTACAAGAACATAACAAGGACATAAGTTTCGTATTGTTTAATTATAAATTTTATTTGTATTAAAAATTGATGGAATAATTTTCACATAAACACTTGCTTGTAATTCATAATTGCAAGAAATTTTATTTTTGGTAGATTGCAGCAATGTTCCGATTATAAGCATTTCGTTGTTTAAGCAACAAAACTTTAAATTTCGTTCTTTACTTAAATTTCATTTTAATTTTAATATTAAAAAATTATAGTTTTTGTTTTTGATGCCGAAATGTTGCTTCTGTTCTGCAAATTTCACGTAAAAAATGGTTCATGAAAAATGTGTTAATTATGCGGTATCGGACACGACACGACGAAATATGAATCTGTTTGTCAGTAGTCATACAAGTTCTGAAAATTTTTGGTCGTATATTATAAATCTTTAATATTTTCTAACTTCGAAGGTTGTGTATTCCAATTTTGAACTGAACATTGAGTCAAAAATATAACAAAAACTATATTGTACAACCTAAGAAATCACAAAACATATCACTTTCATTACGTTCTGTTGAGCACAACTGACTGCGAATTAAATCTTAGTTGATATGATTGACATTTTGAGGATTGATTTTTTTTATTTTTTTGGTTTAATAAATTAAATGACTAAACGAAGAATATAATAAATGCGCAATAAAACAATAAAGTTCGAAACAAAAATGGGTTTCGCGATACAAAAAATATAGCGAATTAAAAAATTAAGTTGCTGATAGGCTTACTAGGCTTATGTAAGGAGAGTTGTCCAAAAAATTTAGCGGACGTGACAGTATAATATAATTTGACAAATACACGAATTTGTTAAAAGTATAAAGATGTGTATTGTGATAGTTTATTTTAAAATATTCTTAATATTCGATAAATTTACCAAATTTCCAAATATAGTATAACTGTAAATCTCTATCATTGATGAACATAAAAATATAAAAAAATTATCATGATACTTTAAACATTTCTTACAAAAATTTTATCATCACGGCAACACCAAAATTTTTTGTATAGATTTAAGCCATTGCGCCTAACCGAATGCATAATTTGTTTTGACTTCTTTCAAAACACAAGCAATTCTTGGTCTATAGGCACATAAAATTTTTCTTGTAATTCAGAAATAGGACATTTAAATTGTGCATAGTCTAACACAAAGTTAAAATCTTCTTCTAGTATTACTAATTACCA